GTGTTTAAAATAGAGATGCATGATATTATCGGCATGGTATCGGCCGATATTAGCGTTAAAGTTCAATATCGGACATTCCATCAAAATAACTCACAGATATAAAAGGTGTTGTTTTTGTATGACAACCCAGTGACAAGGATGCCTGCAGCGCCAGCACAACGTGACGATTTCATGTGCGCCTACCTGATTTGATCACGGCCGAGAGAAGAATTCAAAATGTCGGCGGTGTGGAAGTTTTTTTTGTTGAGGATGTCGGATTCCGAAGATTTATGGATTATGTTGAGCCTCGCTACATCGTCCCCAGTCGGATATATTTTTTCGACGTAGCCTTACCCGAGTTACAAGCCGTCATTTCCGATGTCAATGAGAAGCTAATAGCCGATAGCACTTGGGTGAGTTTTACCACAGACATTTGGACATCACGTGTGTTAGCCCCGTTAGCATGATTAGTCTTACGACACATGGACAGACAAAAACTTTGAACTTAAAAATTCTGTCCTTCATGCACAAGAGTGCAGAGGATCCCACACTGCAGCTATAGGAACCTGGAACAAGCCTCCACAAGTGAGACAGCATCACAGCTGACTAATGTTAATAATAACATTTAACACTTTTCATTTAATGTAAGTTAAATTGCTATGTATATCATTTGGCTGTTACTGAATATATGTCACCAGCTCTTACAGCTGTTACACAATTTTTGTAGCAAATAAGCCTAAATAAAAGGGCTATGTTCTGACAATGGAAAGTAGATAAAATATCGGTATCGGCCAAATAAGTTTTAACATATCGGATATCGGCCAAAAATCAATATTGTGCACCCCTAGTTGAAATCATGTTAGTTAATAACATTTTTATTCTCAGCAGCTGTAATAATGAATTGAATATAGTGAACAAATTTAAAACAATCTAAAAGTTGATGTTTCTTTATATATTTTGTAGCATTGTTTTGTGGGTTTGCGAGGAGGGCCTCGGACAGAGGGGCCATGGCATGGAAAAGTTTGGGAACCCCTGCACTAGATGACAATGTGCAGTCTGTGAGGTCCGTGTTCTGTTTGCATGTTGTGGTTTGATTACATTTCTAGGCTCTGGCATGTACGAATGTGACCTACGGTAGGTTGAACAAATAGCATGGTTGTTTTGCTCCATTGCAGATATGGTCAACACATACTGATAGTTTCAATGTTAAGTCCCTTGTGAAGCAACTTTGTGTGCAAAATAACTTGTGCAGTAGATGTAGTAAGGTTATTTAACTCATGGCTGAATAAGGACTTCAGTGCAGACAAAGTGCTGTCAAAAAGTTAAGACAGTAACTAACGCAGGAAAATGTAAACTGGTATGAGAGATCTGGTTCAAATCTTCTACATATCAGTATAAGTCCAGATTGACTCATAATGCAAAAAGGCTACACAATATTTTAAATGTATAACTGCTTAGACCACAGTAAAGCCTGGACTATGATGATCCATGGGTCTGCATTCATGCTTCAAATGTCAAGAATGTTTCTAGTTGATATGATGGACTGTCACTGCCCTTGATGTTTAAACCCAGTTTAGATTGCAGTGGGTGAGCTGCTAAAGCACATGTCAAGTGTTGTGTTCCCAGACGGAATAGGAGGAGTGAAAAATGGATTTATTGCAGCAGATGACATTAAAATATACAACAATATTGTCGTACTGCATGTTTGGAACTGAGGTTGTTTAAACAGCAAGAGTCCTTTTCTACAGAGCATTCTGTGTTGAACCGCCACTTTTCTACGGTGGCCCAGAAAAGACAAACCAGACATTCACACCAGAGAAAGACACCTCAAGCTGTCTCCCTTTCTTCAAAGAAATGTTTAAGGAAAATAAACCAAAGTTCAGGTAGAAAATCCATCATTGTTCAGTCAGGTCATCTGAACTTTTTTTTGTTGCGATGTTTCGTCTGAGGAGCCGCAACAAACTGAGTCCCACAAGCAGCACAGTCACATAGTGGACCAATCAGTCTGATGGTGATAAGATGGTTTCTGGAGTCTGCCCTCTCCCCCGTCGACTCATCTGAGGCAGCCATAGCCAAAGTGGTTCAAAACATCAAAGTTCATGTTCAATAATCAAGGTAAAAAATCCACCAAAGTTCAGTCAGGTCATCTGTTGATGTTTTGAACTACTTTAGCTATGGCTGCCTCAGAGAAGTCGACGGGGGAGAGGGTGGGCCCCAGAAACCATCTTATCACCATCAAACTGGTTTGTCCACTATGTGGGTTTGCTGCTTGCAGGACTCATTTTGTTGTGGCTCCAGATAAAGTCCTTTGGATGAAGGACGAAACGTCTCAACAAAAAAAGAAAAAAGAAACCGTTCAGAAGACATGACTGAACTTTGTTGGGCTAGGGAAAAAATAATTTCTCTCACCAACATGTAAAGTATTTTAAACTTCACTGCCAGATGTGACAGAATTGAGAAATACACAGAAAAAAGGTTAGTTTGCTGAATAAACTGTAGACTTGAAATCAATATTAGAGGTCGGCTTTCTATCAGAAAACTTCAGTAAGTCCGTTTTTGTTTTTTAAACTGACCTCTAATGTTGCCTGTGCCAAAGTAAGAGCATGTAGATGGTTCTCAAGTCCTCACATGAATAAAATTCTCAAAGACGAGGTTGTCCAGACTGCAAGAAGACTGAATCCTGCCCAACCCTCATGACTCTCCTGCAGGCTGGAGAAGCGTATCCTTTAAATGGGCCCGTGCTGGTGGCCCACATCCACGCAAGAGGCAGCTGAAGTTGGAAATGTTGATGGGAGTATTTCCAGACAGAGCAAACATCAGGTCAAACTGCTGCCATGCATAAACACCCCCCCCCTCCCCCCCCCCCCTGCACTGCGGCTGGCCCGAGACTCAACATCTTCCAGTCTGCAGGGAACCACAGCTATAGCAACACACCATCTGGTAACTTTATGACTGACGAGTATTAAACCCACATTCTTCCAGAAGTGATGACTAAACGATCTATTTATACATAATGTGTAGAGAGGAGAGCATAAACAACGCGTGCCGATGCAAAACACTGCAACAATAAATAACTCTGAGCGAGCTGCACGCTGAATTGAATGTTGGAAGCTCGACAGTCAACGCACCACCAACAAATGATTCCGTCTGCGGCTATATCACGTAGTATATCAAACTTTGCCAACCTGTATGCGAACTGAGCCCAGAGCAGCCGTGGTATCGATCTGCTGCTCTCTCAGCTCGCTGCGGTTGTTCTGATTGTAAAGAAACTCCAAGCAGCAATACGATCTCATCACCAGAGAGACAAAAAGCCCCAGTTCTGTCTGAGTTCAGGCTCTGGCACAACATGGTCAGACATATTAAATACAAGGTGCAAGGTATCTCTCAAGGGTGATAGTACGGCTCTCGCAGAGGTGCATCAAAGGAAAAGTAATGGCACATAAGCAGACGGCTGAAACTGAGCTGAGAGGCTTGAAGACTGTAGTGAAGTTTGTTAACGGTCAGTTGAAAGAAAACTGTGAAGAACATGAAGAGGAAACTTTCCCACAACTAATGCTGGCATGACTCTGCATCCATCTAATTAAAAGTTGAGAAAAGTTGTTTTAAAGTCCTGAAAACTTAGTAAAAAGCAAGCTCCGGCTCTGAGACATTTCCGAGGAACCCTGGCTTGAACATTAATATGTTATTTTGTGTGAAAAGCTCTGCAGAGAGTGGTGAAGGCTGCACAGAAGTCTGTTGGAGTCAGCCTCCCCACCATCACAGACATCTACACCTCCAGATGCAGGAAGAGGGCCTCCTGCATCATGAAGGACCCCACTCACCCAGCACACACACTTTTTGCCCCGATCCCCTCAGGATGGAGGTTGAGGAGAATTAAGTGTAGAACCAATAGACTGAGGAACAGCTTCTACCCTGAGGTTGTTAAGACTCATGAATCTCTAAACTGTGACAAAAATCGCATCATGTTGCTGCTGATTTGTTTCATGTTGCTGCTGATCTGTTTCATGTTGCTGCTGATCTGTTTCATGTTGCTGTGTTCATCTGCTCACACAGACTCATGTTCATGCTGCTGTTCGACGTAATGTTTTTATTGTTTTCATGCCATTAGTGCTTAGTATATTTTTAGTTAACGTTTCTCTTAGTTCATATCTTAGATCCTATTACTGTTTTTCTTTTACATTTTAATACATTTGTTGGATGTAACTGGGACCCTGTGTTACACAATTTCGTTCCACCACAAATAAAGAACCTTGAATCCTTCTTTTGACACTCTGAGCCGTACGTCTTTGCAAAGGCTCACGTCTGTGCTTCTGTGAGCAAAGAAGGGAAAAGCCGAACAGAAACAAATCTGCAGCTTCTGCATTCTCTAAGTCTCAGTTTTCAAATCCGCATCTTACGTCTTATTCTTTTGGCTTCTCCTTCGTTTCATCACCATCGTCTTGTCTTCTCTAATCTCCTGTCCCAGTGTGGCTTTATTTAGCTCTTTAACTGCGTTCAGACAAAGCATTCAAATGCTGAATGTATGAGGAATACTTTTAGTTAGGAGTGGCCATCGAGGTAACAAACACAAGCCAAAACAAACATTATAACAGCCAATAAACAGGAAAGAAGTTTGTTGTTACAACTAAAGCACCAAAACTACATTTCATATAAGCTGGATTAATTTGAACGTAGTTACTGTTTACATGCACAAACATTTCTTTACCCCCACCCTCCACCCTTCGAGACAACAGGTGGTTTTGAGTTGACAGAAGAATAAACCAGTCTGTAAGGAATCAGTCAGCAGAGCGTTGTGCAGCTGATATTCAAGTTTACTTTCAATCCAAGAAAATGATCTGGACTTTGTTCTTCAGTGCAAAGAACAAATGTTAAATGACCCTATGCCAACAAAAACAGCTGTCGAAATGAGACGTTTCACATGTGTTTGGGTACAAACTGTAACCATGGTTACAGTGCAAAACACTTTTCAAGGCTAAAATCATGGTTTTTCCATCTAAAAAGATGTAAGAGTGACTGCTTACCTCGTCCCACTCTGAGGTGAAAGACGGAGATTTTTCTAGCCTCTTCTTGCCCGTGCAACAGTTGGACACGGACTCACTGCGGTTCCCCAGTCCGCCTTCCTCCTCACCGGGAGGAGACACGAGCAAGTCAGAGTCAGACTTGGAAAGGCTGCGCGCCAGTTTCAGGTCTCCAGGAGGGCGCATCCTAACCCCGGCTCCTGCCACCGAGTCCCTGGGCTCCTTGTTCACCGTGGCGTAAATAGCTTTTGGGTCGCAGTCTGTCAGGATGGCGGCCATGCTGGGTCGGTTAAGAGAAGGCGACTTGGCTCGTACTTCCACTTTTGCTTTGGTGGATTTCCTTACTTCTTGCTGGCCTTGGATGGGCGGTGGAGCACCGGGGAGCTTGAAGGCGTCTTCCCGGCTGTCGATGACGGGAGAGGATCCGTGCAGGAGGCCGGTGAACTGCTCCGGGACACCTGCTCCTTGGTCCTGGCTGAGCTGGGAGTTATCTAGGGGAGGACAAAGGAAACGGAAAATGAATGGACAAATGCAGCGGAGAAAGACTGCAGCTTGAGAAGGCTGGAGAGCGGACTTCCATCTGAAGGGCAGATCCTTACACCAGGGCTAATATACAACCACCCACACACCCTGAAACAGAACTGCAATTGTTCCTTACGGAGAGTGGCAGAGAGAAGAAGAGGGAGAGAGCGGAGCGAGAACGGGGCGTTTGTTGGAAGGAGAAATTAGTAAATTCCAAACCCAGCTTGCAGCCGTCTGACAACGATCTGTGCGTGCTTTTCTAACAGGGAGTCAGCACCAACTGACAGGCCTGCTCTGCTCTTAGATCACTTTCCCCAAAATGACACAATAAGAATTCCCCAAAGTTAAAAAAATGACACACAGATTGAATAAACACTTTTAAACCTTTGGAATCCACTTACTAAACTTTAAAACATCTCTGTAGGGAGGGAAACTTACATTAGCAGCCTTCTCCAACAGAAACAAGTCCTTAATAAGGCAAGTGCAATAAAAAACAAACTTCCCTCCTCCCGCTCTCAAAGGAATTACAGCCACTTAAGCTCCTTTTCCGCAGTCAAATCAGCCGCAGCTCGGCTGTGCCGGCGTCCATTTGAAAATTTACTTCAGAATACAAAAAAAAAAAAAAAACATTCAATACATCAGCCTGAACCTTATCTGTGGCTGTCTCCTTTGTCCTGCCGCATCACGACCAGCAGCCTTCTGTGTCTTCTTGCTTCTAATTCTAGACCCGACGGGTGGCTCAGGAATGGAAATTTGAATCACCCAATCCTCCAGCAGAGCCATACTCTTGATAATTAGTTCTCCAACACATGGAGGAGTGTGTGTGTTTGTGTGACCAGTAGGAGGACAGGGTGTTTGGTGACAGGGTATCTGGGGCAGCAGCGCCACAGGAAAGTAATGACCTGCTGAAACACTTTGTCCTTCACAAGTCCGAGCAGCATGTGCAGCTGTCCCCTTCACCTCGCTGCTCTACAAGTGAAAAAATCATAAATAAATAAAACATTTCCAAACTACCTTCCCTTCCATTTCAAGGACCATTTGCAGCGAGGGAGTAAACCAAAACCCACCCTGACCACTGTGTGCGCGTGTGGAGGGGTTTGTGTGTGTTATTAGGCGTGAGTGACTGTACTGTACACATGTCGAGATCACAGCCAAACACCCACGCTCCTCTAGGCAGCTGGGGAGAGGGAACGCCCTATGAGCACATCAGCTCAGCTCCAACAGTCCCACATGGTGTTAACTCCAACAAACCGCCCCAGCTCCATCCAGCTTCCTGTAGAAAACATGCAATCAGACGTCAAGCCTTTAAAATGAGTGGGATCACCAGAGAGGTGGTGGTGGAGGGAGGGGGGGGGTTGTTTTATTTGGCAGCTAGTATCAGACCAATGATGTCATGTTCTTGCTTTGAGGAGGCAGTGCTGGCCGTCACTCCACCCCCCCCCCCCCCCCCACACACACACATCTGAATCGCTCAAAGTTCATTTCTGTTCCATCTGTAGAAAAATAAGCTCCGTTTTTAACTTTAGAACCAGAAAACGTTCTGTTCTGTCAGTCTGGAGGTGCAGAGGTGTTATTAATGTGACTGTTTCCAGTAAAGGAAGTAAACAAGTATCATTACTGACACCAGAGAACATTGAGCCTAGAGAGTCAGCAGGTAGAAGAAGAAACAGAACAGAGGATAAGGTCAGATTTACTGCTTAACTTGAACAAAAACATCTGGATGAAGAAACCACTACATTCCTTTATCCAGACGTTTTTGTGCACACAAAACATCTGGATAAAGGAATGCAACGGTTTCAGTCTTGGTGCACTGCAGTTAATGAAAGCAACACAAACCTACAGAGCAGGGAGAAAAGAAACGACACGAGCTGTGTTAAGTGCACAGCTGACGACACTAACGAGCAGCTCCTTCTGCGCTCGGACCTGCGTCCTATGGATGCCCGTGGTTTTGGGTTATTACCTGCGCTGAGCAAGCATGAGATCTCTCCTCTGGGAGTTCTATAAAACACCGCACAGCAGCGGGAATCTGTTGGGATGCACAGCACTCCTGCTGAGGACAGCAATGTGTTTCTGACAGATAATAAACACGGCGACATCACTGACCCTGCAAACATCCTCCACTGAGGTCTGGTTCCTGGCTGTCCTCACAGGGAGTAAAAAAAATAAAGTATAAAATCATACGGATCACCTTAGTCACAGCGACATGACCACACGAGCTTGACTTGATGCCCAGGTGGGCTTGTCTTTAGAAAAAGGAACTAGATGGAAGAGGCATTTGTTTTAGATAATTGTTTTGAAGGCTGCTGACAATGTCAAGAGACTAGACAAAATAAGCCATCACCTTAACATGACCAACTTTCATTTTTTGAAAGATTTTGTTTTAATACAGTAGTCCCTCGCTACTTCACGGTTCAACTTTTGCAGACTTGCTCTTTCACAGTTTTTCAAAGTACAGTACTATAAGATTGTACACGACAAAAAAAAAAAAAAGAAAGAATGTGCCACCATTTTGTAGTTTCCTCTCAATAAGCCTACACTCTATTGCCAGTCTAAAGGACTACATTGCCCAGAAGGCAAAGATGATTTCTGCTGAAATGGAGGGAAAATTTTGATCCGATCCGAAAAAGTTATTTTCTTATACGTAGTGACTTCCACGCTCAGTAGATACAGCGAGACGATCAGAACCGGACCAGAACTGGACCAAGGCTGGGGTAGGTATCTGCCGAACCGGAACTGAGCTGGACCAGAACCGAGCTGTGTGTTCTGTAGAGCTGGTGAGTAAAAAGGCATTACTACTCACTCAACTTAAAATTTTAACTTGAGTGAATAAACCTTTTCAAATTATCTTGATTAATAAACTCTTGCTAAATAAACTTTTTCTTTAATTTAGTTGATTTAAATGTATTAGTTGACTGAACTGTTTTGGTTTGTTGTTTCAACTTGGACATCTGTCATTTCTACTTTGCGGTTTTTCACTTATTACGGGGGCGTCTGGAACGTAACCCCCGCGATAAACGAGGGACTACTGGAAATCTATTTATTTTAAGAAGATGTCTGTATATGTGGCAGTAAAACTCCAGCAGCCCTATCCTCTGTGCTCCACGCTTCACTGGATGACGTGGCATCTCCAGCTTTAACACGAGACGTGAAGCTACGACAGCAGAGTCACAATCGGATCAAGAATTCGGTTTCACGTTGGCATCAAAATGAGAGTCCTGCCCACTTGCCAGAGAATGTCACTCAGCTCACTCCCAACGAGTCAGATCCTCAGCTCTGCTCCAGAGAATGCCAATTGTGCATTTCCTGGCAGGCCTAATCCAACGAGCCCTTCAGATGCATCAGACTCAAATGTGTCTCTCCAGTTTCATAGACATGCCTGGATGGTGACTTTCCAGGCCGCTGTAGCTTTCCTGATGTTGGCAGTGACCTGTCTGAGATGGTGCGCCTTATTTGGTGACTAGAATCTGAGGACTCACCTCCTGGTGCTTGGGGGCCCATCCCTGCAGGGGGGTGCAGACTGTCTTTCGTCTTGCTTGGGGGTCTGAGGTCGTTTGGGAGTGCAGAGGGTTTGCGCTGAATGGAAAACAGGAAAAATAATCAAAGTTTACTCAAAGCTGTTAACTTCCAAAATAATACCTGTGTTAGCAGACATTTTGCTGTAGTTTGGTTCTCCTTGCAAATAAATCACGACCATTTCGCCCAACAGTGAATGTTTGAATGTTCAGGAATCATGGTGACGTTTTTTTCTATGTTCGGGTACCGCAGAACTCACATACAGTAGTCCCTCGCTCCTTTGTAGTTTGACTTCTGTTGACTCGCTCTATCGCGATTTGTGAACGTACAGTCCATAATATTGTACAATTTTTTTTTATTATACAGGACACACGATTGTCAACTTTAATATTACTCACGCGATTGGGACAGTACTGGAAACTGTACAGTAAAACGTGAATGAAAAAAGAAAATACTTTGGACAGGCACCACCATTTTGTAGTTTTCTCTCAATAAGCCTCCACAGTAGTCTCGCTCATAACGACTACATTTCCCAGAAGCCAACAGAGTCCTGTCCAGAAGCCAAGTTTCCTTCTGCTGAACTACTAGAGGGAAAGTTTTGATAAGATCAGAAAAAGTTTGACGCTTATTACAGTGACTTTGGCGCCCAGCGGATGCAGAGAGCTGCACAGAACCCACCAAACCGGACCAGAACTGGAGCAGAACTGGAGTAGAACCAGACCTCCAAACCCATCAGTGAATCTTGAGCTGGTAGCCAGCCCACGAGGACGCGCTGCTGAAGATTCAGGGCTGTTTCCTTAGCCCATCTGAACTTTTTTCATCCAGACTCTTTTGACTCAATCGAACACCTACGGTCCTGCGCCGGCTCAACCAAAGACCTAACACCC